TATGCACTCAGAGTAATATCACAAACATATTATTCACCTTAGTACACAACACCAGCACAGAAAAAATTCATATTACAAGAACACATTGGTATTGAAGGAACTAGATACTGTTCCGAAATATCACTTACTCGAACCGTCCTGACCGCGTAACTCAGTTGGAAGAGCATTGGGCTAGTATTCCAAAGGTCGTAGGTTCGAATCCCACCGTGGCCGGGCATATTTTTCAAGCTCGCCCGGTGTGGATATGCACTCAGAGTAACATCGCAAACATATTATTCACCTGAGTACACAACACCAGCACAGAAAAATTCATATTACTAGAACACATTGGTATTGAAGGAACTAGATACTGTTCCGAAATATCACTTACTCGAACCGTCCTGACCGCGTAGCTCAGTTGGAAGAGCATTGGGCTAGTATTCCAAAGGTCGTAGGTTCGAATCCCACCGTGGCCGGGCATATTTTTCAGTCTCGCCCGGTGCGGATATGCACTCAGAGTAACATCACAAACATATTATTCACCTGAGTACACAACACCAGCACAGAAAAAAAATTAGTATTGGAATTATAGAGACGAACTGACCATACAAAATGATATAATTTACAAATGTCATCAGATTCTCATCCCAGAGTCTATGCAGGCAGATATGCTCAGTAAAATCCATGTCAATCATCTTGGTGCGGAATCCAACATACGAATGGCAAGAGAAGTCTTGTTCTGGCCAGGTATGAGAAAAGCCATTCAGAATATGTGTACTACCTGTGGGATTTGTGCACAATACGGCCAGACGTTGACTAAAGAGCCTATGAAGTCGATACCATTACCTTCGCTTCCCTGGGAAATAATTAGCCAAGATTTATTTACGCTCGAGCAACGAAGCTATCTGGTCACCGTGTGTCATTTCTCAGATTGGGTAGAAGTAGATGAACTAATGGACACTCTCTCAACAACCATTGTTAACAAGACCAAGGTACATTTTGCAAGGTTTGGCATTCCACGTATATGTCATACAGACAATGGACCACAATTTGTTGGCAAAGCATACAAAGATTTTGCCAAGGAGTATGATTTCAACCATACATCATCTTCACCATACCATCCACAGGGAAATGGCAGAGCAGAAGCAGCGGTGAAGCTTGTTAAGAACATGATCAAGAAATCGGACGATTTTCAAGCTGCCCTATTAAACTATAGAAACACACCTCAGAGAGGTCACTCTTATTCCCCGGCTCAACGGATGTTGTGTCGTCATACCCGAACGAAATTGCCAACCTCAAACAAGGTTCTTGTTCCGAGAATGATAAACAGAACAACAATACAAGAGGAGTTAGAGCATAAACGCAGCACAAGCAAAACGTATTACGACAGAGCAGTGGGATCACAACACGACACTTTACGACCTGGTCAATATGCATACGCTAGACCGCCTCCACAACAGCGCGGGAAACCATGGATCCTTGGTCAAATTACAAGGGAAGAACCATCGCGTTCGTACACATTAAAAACATCCAACGGGATGATAAGAAGGAATCGTGTCCACATCATACCGGCAACACCACCACCGTCAGATTCCGGACCTACTTCTCATAAAAGGGCGTCCTTAACCGATGTGGAAGCAATCCCCATCATTCTTCCAAGTCGACCACCCAAAAAGGAAATAACGGTAACAAATGACGGACAAGAACCATCGACACCCATATCACCACACGAACCATCAACGCCCATTCCACCTACTCAGCGAACGCCCATTCCACTGCCCGAGTTGTCAGAAAGGCCAACCAGGACGAAAAGAGTGCCAGAGAGACTAAAAGACTATGTACTACATGGACTGGAACTATTATTAAAATAAAATAAAACTAATTACTGTTAGTATATATATATAATTTTTTTTGGGAGGAAGAGAGATGTTGGTCAGCGGTCTGGCTCGGATGGTCAGGCGCAGTAGAAGGAAGGGACTGATCAGAGTTTTGGACTTTTCACAGTAAAATCATAAACGTTTAGTAATATAAATATACTTTTATTCATTTGTCTTTGGATTACATTTCTTTGTGTGTGGTCTACAACTCTACTGTATTATTTAGAGAAATATCAACACGTGCATGGGTTTGTATCCATGCTCTTCGACTTGTCAAGGCAGATATCCAATGAGAAAACCTGCCAAAACATCTCAACGATTTCCAGCTGTTCAGTTTTTAGTTAGTAAAACCCAAATTCACAGCACTCTTTCAAAAATATACGCTTTTATTGAAAGCGTATAAACATTGCGCCACATTGATTTATGCGTATTTTGGCATACATTATGATTTCAACCAATAGCATTTTTGAGTCCGCTCATGGCCCCGAAATACCAAATTTCCTTGAGATTGTTGCAGGTCCATATCACAGAATAAAGACATACAGAAGTGTAACTTCCATTACAAAACCGTAAGGCGCTTAATTTTTACCGAAATAACTGGCGGCCATGTTCTTAGCAAGTGCCCTAAAGAGAGGCATTCACCCCCCCCCCCCGGGAATATTAAATTTTCAGTATGTTTTCAGGGGGAGACTGCCTCTCTTTAGGGCACTTGCTAAGAACGTGGCGGACTGAAAAAATCCCTTACGCACTTTTAATAAGAAGATACACTTCTGTATGCCTTTATTCTGTGTCCATATTCAATGTGCCTGCCACGCAGGCTAGATTCTGCTCGACCAACAAACATAGTATATATTATAAGTGAACGTAAGGAAACCTAAACTAACTTAAGTTCACAGTTAATATCGATGTTGATAATGGATCGCTAGCTCTTTCAGTGCTAAACTGCTTTTCTCACCGATAGTGCAGGTTCAGTATTACAACAGTACTAGTAGAAAATGAAAGCTAAACTAACTTTATAGTTCTGATACTGCATAGCTCTATCAGTTATAAATTGAATTTGGAGGTCTATTGTGGTTGGTTGAGTCATGGACTCTGAAAGAACTCTCACTTACATCAGAGGTACAGCAATGTACAAATAAAAGGCACTTCACATTGTGGCACAAACACACCCTATTTCACGTAGATAGTTGTAACAGTTCGAATTATTCGTAAACATTTATTTTCGTGATTCATGAGAAGCGTAGATGTTAACTAGGTCCTACAAGGTCAAGGATCTTTTTGTGGTTTATTACAATGGTATGTCATTCAAAATCGGCTTCTTACTCCTATTTCCTACTCACTAGTTTGTCAGTGGCGCAGCAAGAGCCCTACATTTTTTTTTGGGGAAGGGGGAGCGAAGTGAACTGTAGTGGCGTGTCAGTGCCGTAAGAAGAGCCCTACATTTTTTTTTTTTGGGGGGGGTGCAGAATTTCAAGGATTATAAAGAACATCAAAGACGCCAGCTCGGGTAATTGCGTTTATATATATGGGAAATTTCAAGCCCGAGACAAGACTGATCATGCTGCACAAAGCGATATCTTGCCTGCACACGTAAAGACACACAAATTGTAACAAACCTGCAGCCAACTTGTAGGCAATGCCAATGCTGTTCCAGCAACTTGTCAACAGGATGTGCTCGCACTGCTTATTACCATGCAGCTTGTTGACGATTAGTTGACAACTTACAAGTTGTTCCAACAACTTGTTATCGTCCCGCAATTCAACAAGTTACGAGTGACAACCTTGAGCAACGTGATAACTAACAGCATTGCTGCAACTTGTTGACAAGCTTGCTACAAGCCTGTTGCAAACACATCTTGTTGACAAGTTGTATGATTTTTAGGCCGGCCAACCATGTTTCCATTTAAACGCAAGATGAACATCAGTGTAAATTTCATAGCTAAGTTAGATCTCGGCAAAGTGAACTGGCTCAGGCCTACTCTGGGGCGGTAAATCGCCTTAAATCGCCCAAAATCGCATTAAATCGCGGGTTAAAATGGTCAAATTTCTCTTAAATCGCCTAAAATCGCTTTAAATCGCCTAAAATCGCTTAAAATCATGGACTTACTGGGTGGGGGTGGAAGGGGCGGGGCGACCCCCCCCCCCAGTTTCTGGCTGGGCGGTCGCCCCCTGGCTTTGTTGGGCAAACAAAGCCAGCCGGGCAATATTCGCTTCACAGTCGGGCAATATTGGTTTATTATAGAAATAAATGGGACAAATTCTGTCAATTTTGTGGGAAATTCTGTCAATTATGTGGGAAATATGCTATCTAATAGGAATTTTTTGTAATCACTTCTCCCCCCCCCCAATCACTTCTTTCCAACCCCCTAATATTTTCCTTCCCGTACGCCCATGCTTAAAATCGCATTAACTCGCCAACATGCATTCTGTTTGATACATTCAGTCAATAATGTACTCAAGTTTATCAATTGCTGCTATTTTGCTGGCAAATCATGTATAATCCAGGTGTTTTGCAATCAAAAGTAATGCAACATGGATAAATCAAATAAGTGGATTAGGCTGACAATATTTAGTCACTCAATAGGCTCCGGTCGTTAATAAAAACAGAGCCTTTTTCTGCTTTATGCAGACTTTACAATAATTAGGCAATTCTGGGATATGAAAGACCCATAGATTCCATTACACTACCAGCAACAAAATTGAGTTACTGGTTAATTTCATTATTGGTGTAAAATGTGGAGGCTGGGCTACAATTTATATGGACTATGGTGGCTGGGCTACAAATTAATCTATAATATACATGGCTTCTCAAAGCCTAATTGCTGTTAGAACAACAGTAGGAGACTATGATAATGAGAGTCAATGAGTACGAGTATATAATAAGGTCATCCTGCAATTTATGCACTGTTGCATGTAGATCGAGCACTGCATTGTATACAATGGTTGTACTTCGACATGTGCATGGTGTTACTCTGGCTCCTAGTTATAATTATATTGGCTATCATACGAAAAACATACGTGAGGTTTAATATGAGCGAGATTTTCAAGTTTTGCAACTCTCATCTATTAAATTTTCCAGACCTGTATATAAAATAAACAGTAAAACAATGATTACATCGTACATACCATACAATCTTTGTTGTTTCTTGTTTGCAGAACACTTTGTTGGAGATTAACAATATATAAATATATAGACAGTATTAACAGTTTAGAAGCCGGAAATGCGGCAAGCGCCAACACTTCCGGTGAAACGAACACATGTTGTAAAAACATTAGTGATGAGAGCGAGCGTGCGAATGGAGATTGTTATGTAGGGCGAGATATTAAACTAGTAAAAAAGGAAAGAGATTGTTAACTAAACCTGTGTTTATAAAACTGTGAATTGTCGTAAACACAACAGGAGGCAATTTACGACACCTGGCACCTCCCAACGGGATTGTAACTAGAGATTTAGCTCGAGCAAGAGCAAGGGAATTCCGAATATAATGGCATTAAAACAACAACTCGACGAAATTGATGGCAAGTTACGTTTACTCAATTTTACGACCAAGAAAACCGATGATATACTTAAAACAAACGATGAAGAAGTCGCTATTCGACAAAAGGGTCAAATAACAAAGATTATTTTGGCTATAAGTGACCTGAAACAACTAATCGAAGAAAAGAAATTTATCGAAGGCGACTCCGAAGAGAATGTCGCAGCATGGGGGGAATCAATCGAGGAAAATATAGCTTTGGCCGACGAGAAAGTGAAGCAGTTAAACGAGTATATTCAGCGCCTTAAAGCAGACGAACGCCAGAAAGAAAGCGCCCTGGAAAACGAAAATAAACGACTATTAGACGAAGAAAATTATACGAGACAACAAGCCTTCGAGAAACACGAAAGAGATAAACAACTTGCCTTCGAACAGGAACTTTTCAATCAAAAATTACAGTATCAAAAGGAAATTAAAGAAGTTCAAGCAGGGAAAAACTCATCTACAAAGCTACCAAAGCTTGTAATTACACCTTTTAATGGCTCATATCACGACTGGTTGCGATTCTGGGGCCAATTTTCTGCGGGTATTGAGTTGGCCGATATTCCTGATGTGATGAAATTCTCTTACCTGAAAGAGTTAGTAGAACCCAAGATACGGACATGTATAGATGGACTGCCCTTCACGACCGAAGGATACAAAAGTGCGAAGAAAATCCTTGAAGAAAATATGGAAACACCAGTGAAATTGTGAATTCCTATGTGGAAGAAATCGTGAATTTGCCAACGATAACAAGTACCCGACCGGAGAAAATACACCCCTTCTACGAGAAATTGGTTTATTGTGTTCAGTCACTAGAAACTTTGGGAAAACTTCAAGAAGTAAATGGATATGTACGACTTACCTTGAACAAAGTACCTGGAATACGTGGGGACTTAGTCAGAACTGAGCCCAAATGGAAAGACTGGACATTCACAGATTTAGTCAAAGCGCTGTTCGCTTGGACTGAAAGAAACCCTATTGAAGCAAAGACAAGCAACGAAAGGAAAGATGCATCAAGGGCTTATCAGACCCGTCAAGTAGATCAGAAATCTCGAGCGTGTGTATATTGCGACTCTAAAAATCACAAGTCCATTGCTTGTGACTCGGTGACCACCTGTGAAGCTCGACGAAAGATTTTATCGGACAAAAAACTGTGTTTTAACTGCACGGGTGGTAGTCATAGGGCATCTGAGTGTAGGAGTAAGCAAACCTGCCAGAACTGTAACCGACGTCACCACACCTCAATATGTGAACTAACCAAAACCATTTTGACCGCAGCATACCACCCCAGCGATCACAAAGTAATTTACCCAGTAGTTCTTGTCGAAGTCGACGGTACCAAGTGTAGGGCACTGCTTGACACTGGTTCCGGAAGCTCATACGCATCTGCGAAGTTAGTCGAACAGTTAAACAAGAAACCTAGTGAGTCGAAAGTTACAAGAGTTGAAATGCTAATGGGATCAGCAACTCGTCGAGTGGAAATCTTTAATGTGAACATTAGCAGTACTGACAGCAACTTTAACTTGGAAACTAAGCT